GAAGAGCCTGTTGTACCGGTTCCTCAGATCTATCTCGAATTGGCGCGATGATTTTTGGCGGTTCATTCGGCAGAGCGATATCTAACACACTGTCTTCTCGCCTCTCAATCTTGATCTTTACGGGAGTGATCACCTTCTTTTCTAGCGTCTCCCGCGCCTTCGCTGCTAATCCGCTCTGCAATCGTTTCAAAGTGTTTAGTTCTATAATTCTCGTCCTCTCTTCGTCTTCTTCTTGCTGCTGTTGCTGTTGCTTGCCAGGTTGTTCGTCATCCGCTAGATCAGCTTCATCTTCGCTCGACGACCTCAGACTCACCCTAGGCGCGACCGCTATCTGTTGTGTTCTCCTGCTTCGCGATGTCGAACGCGACTTTATCTTATTGCTCTTTGTTTTCCTCTTCTGATCCTGCCGCTGCTTTCGGTCTTCCAGGATGTCCCTGTAACGCTCTGGATTCTTTCTCACCGGCGAATAGCTCAAGGTGGATCGTGATCGGGACCGTCGACGTTGATGTCGCCTCGGTGAGCGCGATCTACGTCGAGAATCGGCCTCTCTACGCCTCGTCGAGGGTGATGTGGGCCTCCTGCGGGAAGATCCGTAACGATCGTACCTGGAGCGACTTCTGCTCCTAGATGTGGAGTATCTACTGTGCCTCCTGGGCGATCTGGAATATCCCCATCTTCGTTTGGGAGACGGACTCGCGCGACGCGACCTCGAATACCTCCTAGGAGATCTTCCTCCTCCTCCTCCTCCTCCACCACCACTACCACCACCACCACCTCCTCCTCCTCTATCGCCCCTGCTTCTAGAGGATGATCTGTGTCGTTTCTGCAATGGCGGGGAACTTCTGTTGTGGCTAACTGGCGACTTATCCCGTTTCTCCGCCATGCTTTTCTTTGACGGAGAGTCTTTCTTTGATTTAGTAGACGATGGCGGCAACGGCGGGGTCTCGTTTCGAGATATTGTTCGGTCCGCACGTTTCGGCGATCGGGTCGATCGAGAAGGAGGTTCTCGCGAGGAAATCGCGACATTTTCGGAAATCTCGTTTCTAGACGCCTTGTCCACCGCAATATTTTTCTCATGTTTCGTAGACTTTTTCGGTTTTTCCACAGAGCTGTAATCGATCCATATCGAATCAGAAATTAAAGAAAACAGTGATTCAAGCAAATAAGCGTTACGAAAATATTTACCAATAGTTTGCCAAGTATTTGTAAAATAAAAATCAATAATATACATGTGCACAAATTAAAAAGAAAAAAGAAATGAAACGATATAGCAACGTACCTATCCGTGGAGCTTTCGGATGATTGGCGTTTCTGTTTAGTTGAACTCTTCTTTTTCTATAAGAAGATTCAATCAAGAGGATCAATATTGTTTATTGTTTCCAATCGGTGAACATCAATCATGCATTCGTCAAGAGAACAATGAAAAAAAATACAACAGAAAAAGGAACGATGTATTTAAAGAACTTTTTCGGAGTCTGCTTCTTTCGGGATTTCTAATCAATAGTTATCATCGATAATGATGTAGATTATAGATAAAATAAGCAAAGTATTAGCTTATTCGTTATATATATATATATATATATATATATATATATATATATATATATATTTTTATATATATCTGGAAAAAGAAAACTCAAAAAATAAATTGTTTTAAATATTTGTAATATGGATAAACTAAAAACTAAAGTCTAATATAAAAGAGAGAAAAAGAGAGAGAAGATATTAATTATATTAATTTAATATAATAATACATATATAATTCATATATGTACATAACTTTTGCAAGTTAAATCCACATAAAGTGATATAATTATGTTGTAATATATTTTAATTAATTAATACAAATTGATCCAAATTTTTCCAGGGCACGCATCAAATTGAAAGATATATATAAAGATATAAAATTTTTCTTATTTCACTATTCTTTTTTCTTTTTTTTGTAATTACAATAATCTTTTCTCAAGAATACTTTCCAATCTCTCGTTTAAGAATAAGCAGTTTCCGAGATTGATCTTCTGTAATTAGCGTGTAATATAGTGCTCGACATACAACGAGTGAGAGAAATAGAGAGGCTCTTATACACGACAATAAAATTCGGTAAAACTCGAAAAAGAGTACACGAGTATACATATGAACCCACAAAATTAGAAATTACATTGAATAGCGGCATATCTGGTACTCACTCAGGGAATGTCTCCTGTCAAATGGCGCTGAATAATTACAAACAATACTGAGATTTATACTTTGAAATAATGAACTGTCGAAAAAAACTGGGTGAAAATTAGGTGAAAAATCGTTTTTACGTAAACCAACAAGCAAACCGGGGAGATGATCATGCTACTGTTTCCGAGGCAGTGGCAAACTTAAGAGAGCTCGAATAACAATAATAATAATGATCACCCAAGATCGATCAATTAACAAATTTCGGAGAAACGAACATAAATTAGAAAGACGTTGTCATGCACCTACTCTTTCACGTGCCGAAGTATATATATATAAATATATATCTAGAGAGAGAGAAAGAGAGAAAGATAGAAGAGACGGAAAGATAATAATTTATGTTTGGCTTTCTTCGAAGCCTTGTGCGTACCTCATGCTTGTCTTTTCCCCCGACTTTGAGCTTTTTCTTTTTTTTCTTCTTCCTCTTCTTCGACTCAGCCTCGGACGAGCTACACACATATTTATTATTTGCTTTCATTACATCTCTCATACATTTTTATAATTAATTTTTATTAGTAACTATGTGCCTTAAATTAAGTCGCTCAACATTTTTCTTTTTTTTATCGTATCAAAATTTGTATTAATAACGTTGACTTATTAATAATATTATTTCAAGAAATATATTCCATAAAGAAGGAAAAGTATTCCAATTAATATAAAAAATTATTATATTATCGCGATTCACAATTAAGTTGATTGTCAACTTACTTGCTATCGTCGGAATTTTCGCTGGAATCTGATGACGTGACTTCGGCCTTCTTGTGCTTCTTCTCCTTCTTTTTTTTCTTCTCTTTCTTCTTGCCGGATTTGACGGCCGGACTTTCGGACCTATGAAAGCGGAGATTAAACAATCGTTAGAAGAATCTCGTGGCGGCTAGAATTTTTTTTTTATCAAACAATATTTAATCTTATATAGATCTTGCAGTGGGCGTCTTCCTGTCGACAAGTGTGCATACCTTTGTGCTGACAATATATAAAGAAAGCTCTGTAGTACACAACGTTTCTGTGTATGTGAAAACTGATGTTCCGTTCTATCGATATATCAACGTACACGTTATAATAATATGCGCAAGCTCTACCCACTTTAAAAATTATAATTTCTCGCGATAAATTCAAAAATATATTGCCTGAGAGAGTAAAAATTTAATTTTTCTTTATCCATTTAGTTTCCCTTTTTCTTGACTCGATTTCAAAATAAAAGTTCAATTCTTTGTAGCAAATGCGCAATACACTATATTTATGAAGAATATTTCCAAAATATTTTATAAAGCAAATTTAAAATATCTCGTATTGAAATAAAAAGGAAGTTTACATCAATAGATGTAACGTTCGCATACACTGATATAAACTCCTCCTTTGCGTTTGTGAAGTTCGTTCAAGTATTTTGGAAATATTCCGTAAGTGAGATTGGAGTAAGTGTATCGCGCATCGGAGCATTAATTTCGAGAGCGAATGTAATAACGAGAGAAATGTATATAATGCGTGAGATGTTCACAATATTGCGTAATATTATATAATATATCGCGGCTATAGCTAACAAACCGACTACGCTTGTTTTGAAAGATCTGGTTTTGTCACTCGCTTATCGAAGAGTTTTCGAAATCTCATATTAGAACTGCGAAAAACCACATCTTTCAACGAAGATTTCAACGGAAGATAAGTATACGAAATATATATATAATACATAATATGAGGATTATTGATATAAATATGGGATTAGCATTACCTTGATAACCATCGATAGGGACGGACTTGTCAGAAAAAAATAGAGAGATGACATTAACAACAAGCTTCATCGATAAACAACAACAGAGAGATAGAAATGTATGATTTTCATTTAATCTTTTCTTTTTGTGCGTAATTTCTTCTACTTTTTATAATTTTCTTGACTTTCTTTTGCGTTTAATCTGCGATTACCCGCGTTTTTCATTACTTTACTTTACCCTGGCAAATGTTTGCCTGCGATATTTGTTAAATTTAAAAAATATATAATATGATATACATATATTTTAAGATATATTGAATTTATAAAAATCATTAAAATGATCGTCATAAAATTATCATTTGTTGAAACTGCATGTAACCAGGGTCGTAACCAAGCAAAAATGAATTGGAAATTAAATTTAAAAATTAAACAAGTTAAAAAAATCTGTGTTAAAAAATTAAGTTCTTCGTTGTATACAATATTTTCATATATAAACAAATATATATTTTTTTCTTTAAAATTTTCGGATTTATAAAATTTATACGTTATCGCGATATCGATCCATCATAGTATTGAACATATTGCCAAGTATAATTCTCAGCGTTTCCAGTGTTCTCTAAATTTAATATATTCTAACTCTCTCTTGTATATATATTCTATAAGAATTATTTACAGATTAAAAAAGAATTACACAAAAAAATTATATTTTTAATGTAAAGAGTTTTTACTGAGAATAATTTAGATATAATTCTTAGTTATACGACTCTGGTTTGTACGAGAAAACGAAACGTAGCAAACATTTGCTGAGGGACGTCTAATCGCGAAAGATCCCCAGAGAAAATCCTATCGATATCGCCGTAATCGCGTTCTTTTCGTAAATGACGTTAAACTTTCTTTCGAAGAGTGTGTTTCTTTTTTTTTTGTTTTTGCAAATTAATTCGCGACGACCACACTTACCTACTGCGCCTACTGGGTAGGCACTCAGTCCTCCTCAGTTCTGTTTGAAACAGAGAAAGGTGTACGGGATATGAGACAGTAGGTGGTGAGTCATGAGTTTACAGTTTCTGTATTTTCAGAGTATTGCAGCTAACGCGCGTAAAAAAAATAAACAAGAGAAAGAGAGATAGAATGAGCGTTTGTAAAATCTCGAACAATCTCGATTAACCGATTATAGGAAAAGAGAGAGAAAGATAAAGAGAGACAGAGAGAGAGAGAGAGAGAGAGAGAAAGAGAGAGAAAGAGAGAGCGAAAAAGAGAGGAGACTTTCTACTCGGATTCTGGTCGTTTTCTTTTTTCTCTTTTCTGGAGTTTTCCGGACGGGTATGACTGGGGGAGATCAACTGTGCGGTCTTGGAGCCTCGATTCGCATCTTGAAACCGATACTTAAAACGGAAACGAGAGAAAAATAGAGAGATAGAGATAGAGAGAGAGAAAAAAGAAAAGATAATAAGTAAGGAATCACGTAGAATCGAATCCAGCCTCCATGGAGCCGTACGCGCACCGTTTACGTTTGCTATACCTTTCCCGCGCTTTGTGCTTCTTGTTCTTCTTCTTTTTCGTGCTCGTGCTGCCGGAGCGCTTTCGCTTCTTCTTCTCCGCGCCGGCTACGGCGGAGGTCGTGTCCGGTGGCAGCGGAGGCGGCTGCGGCGGCGGCGGCGCCGGGCTCGGCGTGCGCACCAGCTCGTAGACCTTACTCGCAGCGGCCGCGGCGGCTCGTGCCTCCGCCTCGCGCGCGCGCCGCTCCGGATCTAGGCTACTGCCCTCCACGAAGTACTTGGAGATGCCGAATGCCTCCCGCAGCTTCGCGTTCTTCTCCTGCTGCGCCTCGGCGATCTGGTGTGTCTCCCGTACGCTGAAAAACCCAAGAACTCTTGTTAGTTATATCGTTTACGAATAATAAATGATAGCTATTTGCATAAGCTTTGTGCCATAATAAATTATAAAAGTATACAATATAAATGAATACAATATGTATTCATTTATATTGTACATTTACATATTGTATTCATTTATATTGTACATTTATATATTGTATTCATTTATATTGTACATTTACATGTTGTATTTATACAATATAAATGAATACAATATATATGAATATAAATGAGTACAATAATAAATGAATATGTATTTATTTATATTGTACACTTACATATTGTATTCATACAATATAAATGAATACAATATGTATGAATATAAATGAGTACAATAATAAATGAATATGTATTTATTTATATTGTACACTTACATATTGTATTCATACAATATAAATGAATACAATATGTATGAATATAAATGAGTACAATAATAAATGAATCGTTACCAATATCGATTTGACAAATCTATCCTTTTGAGAAATAAATCGTGTTAGTAGTTGAGACAATCATAATCACTGATAGTAATATCAATGTTATTATTTGATTATAATTTTAATATAAATTAATATAATTTATTTAATTTTATTATAAATTAATTAAATATAAATTTTTAAATAAACGATATCTCGCTCTTTGGAAGAAAAGATGAATTTTGTTCAATTGTTTGTAATTGATGATAAAATGCCTTCGATTTAACAGTACCATTTCTACAGGCGAAAAGATGCTGGAAGATAATTCTGTTTCCATCAGTAATTGATATTATTTTTATAAAAAAAAAAAAAAAAAAAAAAAAACCGTTTGAGTCATCGATATAATTTTTACAATCAAAAATGCAGTAGAGGAAAACCAAATTTGGCATAACTGATATAAATTAAAGAGCGACAGAATATTTAATATAATTCTCTCTCGAAATCTCGATCAAATTTTTACAAATAAAAAAGCACTACAAGATTAATTACTTCGATGAATTTTACGTTTTTACGAATAAAATTCTCAAGGAAATCATTTGTTTTGCACATTTTCGCAACCCTCGTCGACCGCAGGTAAGCCTCATTGAACTTGTTATCGATGTTTCGCGGCTGATTATGGCACACAGATCATGTGACGTAATAAATAATTATCAAATAGATACGAAAATTTCATAGCGCTTATACAAATAAATAATAAAATTTCACATATTTTGATATCATTTTTACATTTCCAAAATATTACAAACTGTGTCGTATTTTTACAAACAACTTTTTTTTTTAAATGATTTTTTAGGCGCGCTCTATAAAATTATACTCGTCTCTTCAAGTGTCGAATAAATCAAAGTGCACATAAACGTAAATGCAAATAAATTGAATAAACTTTATAGATGCAAATAAATTGAAATAACTTTATAAATTATCCATTTCCCGTTTCCCACGAAATATTAAAGCCACTGTACTAATTTTACAGCTAATAGAGATTCAGGATAATCCGGGCGAAGCACTCGCGTTGATGATTAACGAGAACCGAGGAAGGATAGATGTGATCGAGATATCGCGTACCGCGTTGAGATCTTCACCGTCATCCTCGTCGGGCGAGGATCGCTCCTTCGGAGCGACGGGGCGGTGACGGGAGATGTGTTTCAATCTCACGGGAACACCCTGTATATGGAGAACAACGGCGTCGTCCTTAAAACGAGCGTCGCGACGCTAATGACATAACACACTACAGGGCGGTTAGAATGGCAAGCGGGAATCGCCTTCTCTCTTTCTCTCTCCACTTTTCCTGCGGAGGTGAAAAGCGGTGAACCGGGGCTTAACCAGGAGGGAGCGAGAGCCACCCCTGCGCGCTTGCACGCACGCCGCCGGAACACGGCGGATCAATACAATCCAGCTGTTCTCTTTTCTGGCATCCCCTTTACGCCGTACAACGGAATCACTCTCGACCCGGTGCCGAAGTCAACCGCCGAACGAACGAAGAGTAAATCAAAGAGAGCTATATATGTATATGTATATATATAAAAAATTATATTCAAATTACGATATATATGTGTAGAATTCTCAAAACAATTATTTTACATTTTTTACATATATATATATTTATATTTTTAACAAAATGAAAAACGAGCAAAAAATTTTTCTTTACTTTACTATCTTTTATACATAAATTGCGATAACTGATAGATGACAATAGATTGAAATATGATTATCGCGATGAAAAATCGACCAGATAAGACATAAATGATTGAATCATAGGATTGAGCTGAAAACCGACAAAGGGGATTCACCTGACGACGGAGCGCACGTTGCTTCGCCGTCCGGCGAGCAGGTGCAGCTGAATGCGCTGGCAGCAACAGCAGTGCTGACGTTGAAACTGCAGCAATTGCTGCTGCTGGTGCTTCCTTTTTCCGCCGTTATTAGCCGCCGCGTTATGCAATCTCCGTTTGCGCGAGCGCCTCGACAACACCTTTTGCCGGTCCAACAGGAAGTTGCCGCCGCGCCAGAGAGTCTCGAAGAAGGCCCGGCCGTCAGCCGGACCGCGTCCGCGCGCGGGTTTTGCCGGTGACACCGTCGCCGACATCGTCATTCCTCGATGATCCGAACGAGGATTAGCTCTTCTCCGAGACCTTTTTTGTGGAGAGATCCTTCCTGGAGAAATTTAGCTTAAAACGTCGCTTTTAATAACTGTTTCGAGCTTCTAAAGATCCTCTTCTCGGATTCTTATCATCTTAATTTTATACAGAACCGTAGATCCTAATTTCAAGCCTAGCTTCTGTGGTTCTATCTTTTTAAGATCCTTCAATGATATAATATATCATCGGATGATTTATATAGACTTATTACGGGTAATCTGTGCCGCAATTTCTCTTCGGGTTTTTTATGAACCCTCTTCGAGGATCGATTCTAATAATTGAGATAGTTATCCTATTCTCTCGAATATCTTCATGCTCAATCTATTCTATTTATTTCTAAAATAAGGAAAATTCGATGGTGAATAATCTCGATAAGATAATTAGGCTGCTAATTGAAGAGAAGCTTGAGAAGCTCCGTTGGTTGGCCCACGTTGCGCAAATGGCTCAATCCCTTCACGAGGGAACTGGAAGGGGTGGAAGGGAGAAGATTAGAGGGGAAGGTAATAACCCTCTCCCACTCCAGCTGCCGCCGCGCCTTTTGTATCCATTGTCCCGGCTTTTCTAGCTAGAACAATCATCCGGTGACGATGAATGGCAAGTTCCTCTCTTTTCTTACATTGTCACATTTCATTTCAATACTCTTCCAGCGATTCTCATCGTCTCTCATCGATCGTTTTTACTGACGTTACGTTATTAACGTTTGTTTTCTTTTGTCAGAAATAATAATATATATATATATATATAATTATTTATATATTATATTATATACGATGCATTATTTTATTATTATTCACCTTACTTGCTAAACCTTCCTCTTCTTATTCTATATGATATATATTGTGGAAGAATATATTTTTCCAATATGTATATTTGTATCGGCAAAGTTGCTCTATGCATTTTAATAGAGTTCAGGAAGACTTCAGATCACAGGCACATCATTATCGTCGTGCTCTTCGTTTCTCTAGCAGGACGAAGCAGGATGTTTTTCTTAGCGATGTACCGTCGACATGTCAGTCGTCGACGACTTGGAGACACATGGATTCCGTAGAAAAAGTTTTTCAAATTTTTTTTCTAGGTGGAGAAGATACTTGGAGATTAGGAAGATTTAATATTCTCCATCTGCATCTCTCTTTTTCATGTTCCTGATGAAATAAAAATTTATTAGTAATGGAAGACGTGATATTCTTCATAAAATTCTTATGCGAGAATAAAGAATTTCTTCTCAAGTGAAATGTTGATAAATTAAACTTTTATTTCTCTCTTCTTTTTTCTTGATATAAATTTTCCTTATGTTTTTATCTTCTCTTCTTTTCAATTAAGATGATAAGAAATTATTCCTATTCCATATATATCTCGTTGTACATTTAAAAAATTTATATTCCAGGATTATATTTATATATATGCAAAATGTTAATCTTTCTTCTCAATATAATTCATTTAATAATTTTCTTTGCGAAAAACACTTAATATTTAAATGTACAATATTTCATATTTTCCACGTATTTTTGTATTATGATTTAGTGAGACGTGTGATGATCAACATAATTTCTCTGCAGCTTTCTTTTCACTCAAGATCGACTAATACTCAATATATCTGATATTTTTCACACATATATCTGCATTACAGTTCGTTCTTCGATGAAATATATTATTTTTCAGATTTCTTCTCACTCACTGATCATTCAATTGATATTTAATAGCCGATATTTTTCGCACGTATCTGTATATTATGATTTATTCAAATAAAATGCGTCATCTTCTTCACAGATTGCCTCGTTCGGTTATAACTTCCACTAAACGCAATATCCTCTTCGTGTATTTAAATGAAAGGCGTGAAATGGCCGTTTGCTCCCATGAGACATTAAGAAGCTATACTTATGCTCTATATCTCTATATCTAATATTTTCGCGAAATATATATATATATATATTCTAATTTGAAACTTAGCGCTTAGGATCTAGAAGAGCGGAATAGCCGCGCTATTAATTAAACGCTAATGGAAGACTTTTGTGATTTGTTCGCGAATCACATCGCGCGTCACATGTTCCTCCCCGATGGGGTGTCACTCGGTGTCACCCCCAAAATTAATCTGACTCTCGATGCACCATCGGTCGACGACACACCAGGACGACGCGTCCGCTGGGTGCGTCAGTCCATCCTCGCACTGAAGAGAAGTCGGAGACCAAGCGAGAGATGCTGCGCCGTTCCCTCGCTCCCGCTTCCCTTTTCTCATCCTCCTCCACCGCGAATACACTCGCTCTCGATGCATCCCTCCCTCCTGGCGCCGGCGCTATGGGGTACGTCGATATCGCGAGTATACTCACCCCCGATCTCCCCTGGCGAGGAATGCAACACGTCCCCGCCCTTTCGCGATGTTTCATGTATCATTTAAGCTAAAATTTGTCTGAAAATCTTCTCGCATTTTACGATTTCTCAGTTCGCGAGAAAGTTTTAAATTAAAGCAGCATTTAAATTAACATATACCAATCGAGAAAATGACTCGTGTCAAACGTATCCGTGAAAAAACTGCTATTAATCTTTTCTGTAGCAAATCGATTGTATCCCCTCGCGAAAAAACACGCGCATTTTCGTGTAGAAATATATACGTAGTATAATAAATATATATGAAAATTGAATTGATTTGAAAAAAGTACTAGCACCCTAATTAACAATTAATTAATACCATCAATTCAATAAAAAATAGTAATTATTTCTTCTTTCTCTGCTTTTAATTAATAATTTCAATAAAAACAATGATATATTTTGATAGAATATAATGCATGTACAAAAAGTTGGACAAAATTAATGTTTTTTTTTTATTATCTTATTTCCTTATAAAATAATTATTTTTGTTTTTGAAAATTATAGTATTTCTTCCTGAATACATATTACAAACTTCTGTGCATATATTCAAAATATTTAATTTTTAAATGCATCTATATATTCATTAAATCTCTATCCTTTTTCTGCGATCCTAAACTTATCAATAACTCTTTGTATTAAATATATTCTTAATTTTACTTTTAATTTGCATTTAATTGCGATTTATACATTATATAAATTATAAATTATAAGACAACTGCGTAGGAAAATTACATTTACGAAAACAACAAGAATATTTCAGACATATATTTTTTGGATATTTCTCCAAGAATGATTTGCATGAAGAATATATATATTTATCGTAAAATATATTTTTTCGCGATCCAATATTGCGTCTGCGAAAGCTTTGCTTTAACGCAGGATCAAATAAAGCCGCGACGAAAATATGTTCCTAAGATCTCGGGAAGCTCAGACGCTCTTTATATTATATATAACGTTTCATATAGCATCCGCGCCGTCGGGATTATCCTGGATTTGGCTGACAGCCAAGACAGATCAATAAAAAAAAAAAAAGGAAAATTCTTCCTCTAGAAAATTTCATGCACTTTCATAAAGTAATATCGCATTTTATTAGCCAATCTGTTTCCTAATTATAAATCAAGCCATTACATCTATTATTGTATTAAACTTTGTATATCATATTTAATTCATCCGAATTTATTTCAAATATAAAATTATATTCATACTTGTATATTTCAAGTAATTAAACATTATATTGTTCCTATCTAATTTCTACAAAATAATTATATGTATTTCGATTTTAATTTATTTCACCTAATTATTATTAACTTTTGATTATACTCTGATTAATATTAATTTTTTTTTAATGTTATATTGCATTTTGCATAAATTATTTCCATTTATTCTATAACATCGCTGAATTCCTCGCGGATTTAACAAAAAAAATTAAAAAGAGAAGATTAGATAACAAATGCACTTACTTAATACGGCCGAATTCATCCTGTGGAGTGGATGATTTGATATCGCTCCCCATTAACAATGATCTGTAGGACTCCACCTTGTTGTTTATCTCCTCACTCGTAAATCTGCCATTCACATAAAAAAAGAGACTAGATTATATCCATTCCTAATTAATTTATTCTATATTCAAATTAAGCATTAACTATCTTGACTATGACCTGTCATTAAAATTTAAATTACATATGTGGGACACATACATACACACACACACACACACACACGTCATATGTATATTTATTTTTTATATAAACATATTTTTTATAAATTATATATATTCTCTACTTTGAAAAAATATTATACCAAATAATTTAAGTCTCGATAGAGATTTATTATTGTCAAATAGCTCTCTTCTTTCAGACTTAAATTAGATTATAAACTAATAGGATTGGATTTGTCTACCTTTGGCTTCAATGCTTAGTTTAAAGGTGATATATTTATCTACAACAGTCTCTGATAAAAATTTTTATGTATTAATGATTACTGATTATTACAGAAATTTCCAATATAAATATATTTATATTTAAAAAATAATTAAAGAGTTTTGTTAATATGACATAAAATGCTAAACGTAATTTATAGATTTAAGATCTTAAAATTAAAACTATTGAGACTAAAAAACAAGAAATATAATTTATAAATATTTACCCTTGGTCCTCCAAAATGTCAGCCAGCTCGGCGCACTTGACTTCGACCTTTCTCTTTCTGACATGATCTAGAATTTCTTTATTCGGCTGCTTATTCAACTGGTCGATTTTTGAATCGTCCGTCTTGTAAGTAACCTTGTCTTTGTTCTTACGCACGATTGCCCAATTTCTCTGAACATGTCCATTAGTTCCAGAACCGCGTGGAGTTTGAAGTCCGATGCCATTGTACATCTTGTCTCAATCCTGTAAATCAAAACAAAACTCCAGGTGAGACATTAACAAATCACAAATATCTAATAAAGTTACATATCAAGTCGCGCACACGTACAAATTATTTAACACTCTAAATGCATTTGATTTCACAGAAATATTATTCGCTTGATGCATCTACACGATTTCTTATATTAATCGCAACTGTCTTGGATGGATTACAACATTGCCAATAACAATATGTAAACTTTAGCGTAGAAATCTCACAGATCGAATGCTTAATGCCAAATGACAAAGCTATAGAACTATGACAGTGTACGAATCTAACTTGAATAGGGATAGGGATAGAAATTTAAGCCGGAAACAGTCATTGCATATTCATGAATATCAAATCGCGTAATCATTAATTATACATTGATCATTTTACGAATCAGCTTACATCTACAAAATCTTGGGTCTATATAGAGCGACCTTTCGCCTATAGGTAAGTTGCCAATAATTATTATGCACATACCACTGTGCTTCGATTGTGAAAGAAAAGCGATAACCTACCCAATCGTACAGTTCCGTTCTAGTGTCTCGTCGATTAAATTATGTCAGCAAATTGGCCATTCGCGTTGAACGACGTCGTTTATCGCGATATCGAGTCACTCAATAATATATATATATATTAAGTTGTGGAATCGGGCCTTAATAATCCAGCGCGTATTCGAGGGACCTAGGTTAGAGTAGATGCACACGGTAATCAATTATCGATCCGGTCGCGATGCGCAAATATCGCTGATCGTTCGGTTTACTTTACCCACCTGCCCGTTCTCGCCGAAGACGTCGGAGAACTCGTTCCCGCGAGAGCCGAAAACCCCTGGCTCGTCGACTCACCAATGCAACAACACCGCGAGAACGAAACGCGGAAAAATAATTCGCGAGAACTGTGCGGGAAGTTTCCGGACCGTTGCGATTTACGTTCGGTTCTCACCTCGGTGATTCTCGGCTCTTTTCGGGGTAACATCGCGGAACGAAATTTCCCTAGCGTTTCCCCTAGTCTTCTTCACTGACGTACGATGTCCAATAGGAAAATTTGGGAGCTTTCCAGCAAGAAATATACATAAATACAAAATCATATGATTAGTTGCCAAATAGAAAAATTTTAAGATCTTTAAAAATTCTGTATTTAATAGTCAATTATGTAATATTGTATCTATCTATGTTTTCTTGCTGGAAAGATTAATGATCTTTAGATATTATTTATTATTATTTATTTTATTATTTATTATTTTAGATTTATTTCTGATTTATTATTTTACATTTATTTCTGATTTATTATTTTACATTTATTTCTGATAGAGATCAGTGGAAAAGATCTTT